AATACTAAATTTTTGCTTGGAATTTCAGACACATGTCAGTAGTTCATAGAATAAAAGAACAATGTTCATTTTATTCAAATATATACCCATAAAAAATAAAATCAGATAAACTGGTCATTTTAAATGGTCTTTTCCAGAGCTGTATTTTTGTGTGTAACAACCACCAAAACACAAACTGTGCATAATTGCAAAATGGAAGGAAAATTACACTAGATCTTTTCATAAAAAAATGTGTGGTATGAACTTGTATTTAGCCCCCATTAATCTGATGTTCCTAAATAAATTCCAGAAGCCATGAACTATGCTGAGTTCCTTAGCCATTGTGAAGCTGTTGTAATATTTATCCTTAAGATTTTAAACTGGAAGCAACATATCCAAGAAAAATCCTACAGATTGGTGTTTCCTGACAAAGCAAAAAAAAAAGAAAAGAAAGGAAGAAAGCGCTGATAAACTCCACAACTCAAAAGAGCTGCATGTCCACAGAAGATACGATGTTCGCAAAATCATTTCTACGGTGAAGTGAAACCCCATCACAGCAGCAAGTGAACAAAACTCTCCAGGCGGTGGATGTATCAATATCAAAGTCTCTCATAAAGGAAAAAACAGCATGAAAGTAAATACAGGAGATCACTGCAAGGTGCAAACCATTCATAAAGCCCAAGAATACAACAGAACAGAATAATCCTGTTTTATAATGTGAGAAAAAAGGTATGCGTTGTCAAAGCATTGTACATATGAAATAGAGATAAAATGTGGTACTGAAGTTGTTACACTTGGAGGTTCTCACAAAGCAGAGCTGGTGAGTAGGCTTAAAGAGGCGGGGGATGCGTGTGCTGCAGTTCCTTGTGTTTAATGGTGCTTTTGTTTCTGGTTTGCTTCACTTCATTGCAGAAGTTGACTGAAATGAGGGGTTCATTGCAGAACGCTAGTGGTGAAGGAATGATCTCATCTGGATGTCAAACGTGATCTTATGAAGAAAAAAACATAATGTTTGCACCAGGTTCTGTGTGAAAGGAAGGTATAGAAATAGTTAGTCAGATGGTTCTGACACATAAATACAAAAACAAGGACCATTCAGGTGTGGCTAAGAATATTTAGCTGCAGGCCATTATTTTCAAAAAAGCCTCTAAAAGGAGGAATCTGAAGAAAATGTACAAAACTACATAAAAAAGTCAATGTGTGAGTCATGATCTATAATGCAATAACAAATCTCTATCAGGGCAGTATTACATCCCTAAAAATAGACAAAATGGGGAAACAAAGAAAAAGACAACATTATTAGATGGGATGAAATCAGCTTTTTTTTTCTCTTTTTTTTATTGCATTAAAAAGAAATCTTTATGGTGGAAATGGAACGATACATAATCCCAAACGCACTATTCCTGTTGGGATGCATAGTGGTGGCTGTGTTATGCAGTGGGGATGCACTGAGAACTGATTCTCAGCTGCCACAGAAATCGATCTTTAGACAAAATGTAATCTAAACATTTAACATTAGCAATTTTTACCATTACCATAGGAATGTTGATCCGATTTTTAAAAAAAATATTAAGCTAAAACTAAGGAACCAAGGTCTCCAACTATCCAATTGTTCATGTCAGTCCTGTTCAGGAGTTTTTCTCCAATCATGTCTGAAAATGGTAAAAAACCCAGGCAGAGAGACCCCATCTGGGATCTCAACAGCCACATTTTCAGCTGTGAATCAATAATATTCTTTGAGTGCAATCAACCCAAAAATAATAGGCAATTTTAAAAAACCTTCAAAATTATTACATCTCCTGAAGTTTAAGTAATACCAAACGCTCAAGTAATTTAGCATCTTTATTCCAACAAACTCCTCTCAGGTACTGAAACAACAAGTGCTCAACAATGGATGAATCATTGTAATTACTTAGAAAATTGGTAATCATGAGAATCCTGCCTCAGCCAATCTAGCTGATTTTTAAAATGCCTGCTTTGAAAGTTTAAGGCTCAGGATTTGAATCTTCACAGACATACATCCTAACAATGCCACGCCTGGCACTACGGTGATCAATGCTTGAATCTGGGCGAAAGATAAAATGTGTGTCGAGTGTGGATTGAGCAACCTGATGTGAAAATGATGAGGACAAAGTGATTTGTTGTGACGCAGGCAGAGTGTGGCTAATGAAGTCAGACGTGCCTTGTATGCATCCTTTCTCTTTCATAATGGATTTCGCCTCGTTGTGCTGACCTGCTTTTCCTTCAAGACAAATCTGTTGTTCTTTTCCACTCAGACATCACTTCAAAGATCTTAAAATGTGTTTTCCTTGAGTTCAATGTCAAACCTATGCTTCAATATCATATAAATGAAATAAGATTGAACCTGGGATCGTGTTAATGTTTTAAAGTAATGAATTTATGTTACTGCTTACATGGGGATTAATGTATTTTTGATCATGTGAGGGTTTCCTAGCACTGAAAGTACTAATGAGTTTCCTGTGTCCCATTCAGGGACACAGGAAATAATTTGCTGTGTTATGAAATATTTACGCAGTAAATAATGCCAAACACATCCGCTACAACAAGTTTTGATGCTGCTTGAATTTTTTATTCCATTTTGCCATATTACAGCATCATATTTCAATGCTTTTTATTGTTTTTGGTTTTTTGTTTTTTTGGTGTTAGAACACAGCTGTTCCTCGGTGAAGGGAAAATGCTATTCAACCCTCTTTACTCCAGTGTATCCCATTAGGAAGTCACCTTATTGCTAACTAGATTCAAGTTTTTATTTTTAATTTAAATGAAGCGAGAGCTGAACAGGTCTGAATGCCTTTGCAGGGCTCTGTGAGCTCATGAACAGGCCAGAGGTTCATTCGTTTGTTTGACCCGAAGTAACAGTCTGCTTTAGGTCTCACTTTTCTGACACGGATCCCAAGGGGAGCAATACAGCTGGTGCAGTTAAATTTAATCAGATATCTGTCAACACTGCGCTCCATCGTTGTGTGTAATGTCCATAAATAATGGACCATCTTCAGTGCCTTGTCGTGTACTTTCCAAACAGACCCAGCTAAAGCCAAGAGCCCCATGTGTTCATCTTCAAGGCGAAACAGTTGCAGCTTTCCCACTTATGTATTCAGTAAATTATAGAGGTGTCATCATCAGCGTGGTATTTTCCCGTCAATGTCCCCCCCAAATATCCCAGAGGAACAAAGGGAAATCCGCTGTTGGATAATAAGGTCTGTCTTTATAATAAATGTCAGAAAAGGCAGAAAATGATAACAATAAAAAGTTCCTGCAGTGTTTGAACTCCTGTAGACTTTCTTTGGCTTTTGGAAAAGACAAAACTGTCCTGAAGAGAAAATCCTCCTATAATTGCAAACTTTCTTGTTATCAGCCCCTCACCAGCAAGGATGGTCAAGCCTCTGTATCACTAAATCATAATGGCCCCTGAAATGACAGTTTCGTATCAGCAGAGGCTTGGGAAAGGCTTCCCCGAGCCCGACCTTACAGCTGACGTGTGCGTCCTGAGAATATCCCATCCAGCTGAGGCCCTGACCATCATGGAGACCCGGAGCTCTGCAACAGCTGAGGCCCAAAGTTTGAATCTAACATCTATTGTGTTGCTCTAGTTCCTCTATGCATTTCTTTTATAGATAAAATAAAGTCTGATTGTTTGTTGCCCCTCAAAATGATATAAAGACATTAAGCGACAATGACAACTCTACCCGGCAGATGATAAAGGACTCGGCGCCAACAGGCAGATCATTTGAAGGAGTTATGAAATGATACAAGCATAAGCAGAGGTACAGTTTATACCATGGGAGGGTTTCAGTTATTAATACACTGCCTGTAAGCTACTTGTAGGCTATGTAGAGCCCTTAATTAATCATTGAGTACCCAAGCTTGATATCAGAAACGCAATGTGACATAAAAACGTTAGCATAGTGCTACAACAACAACACCAGCCCCATTTTGCCTGTAAAACAGCTCCTGTCAAAGTAAAAAAAAAAAAAACTACAAAACTAATTCTCATGCAACTTGATTCAGTTAAAGAAGTCATTTAGATCTCAATATAAAGCCAAATTATTAATTAATTAAGCATTTTTACAATTTTTAGTTCATATTATTCATCAGTTTTGACCAATGCATAGATATCCTAAGAAGTCACTTTTCTAAATCCAAATCTTTCTTCCTATGTCTAGACTTTTATCCTAAGACAAAGTACCATCTCACGTCTTCGTGCTTCAAGTTTAAGTCTAGATTTGAGTCTCTTTGCTTCAAGTCCAGCCTATGTCTGTCATCCTAAATCAGGGTCTATGTCAGGTCGTCTGTACCGAGTCCAGATCAAGTCTCGTCCCAAATCTGAACTCTCTAAAACCATTTATAGTCTCTAGTCTTTTATCCTAAGTCTAAATGTAAAACCACATTGTCAGACAGCATAAAAAGTCCAAAAACATCACACATTTTTCTTCACTGAGGAATTTACAAAGTTATTTTTTTAATTAATAGCTCTGTTGTCCCTCAAGTTTCAAACCCGACAATCACCAAAGAAAGACGGAGCTGGATGTGAAGCACTTTGTAAAACTGAGCATTCAGAACAACACTTTCCAGGGTCTTAATTACAGCTTGTGTGAAGAAACAAACAACCACCAAAAAAAAAGAGAGAGAGAAAAAAATCCTTTTGGGAAAATAGAAGTGTAATTATTGAATATCAGCTAAATGAGAAAGTTCTGATTCAATGTTCTCACGGTTAAAACCTTGCACAATTAAAACAGGGGTCATCGCCGAGGTGAAAGAAAAATATGCTGAAGTAAATAGTTTGGGAGATGCTGTAATTAAATTTCCATATCAAAAGCATAATATGGTCTTGCAGTGAGGCCTGCGCTGCTGTAGGGTTTTCTTTGATGTGGACATTTTGCACTCAACTTCTCCAACGCGGCGTTCAGCTCACAGACCTCCTCCTGGAAATCTTTCCGCCTGTGTATCTCACTAAAAAGCCTTGTCCGATCACTATATCGACTCTTCTTTTCTCTCCCCAGGAGTACCAGATCGATATCATCTTTGCCCAGACTTGGGTGGACACCCGTCTGCGGTATAACAGCAGCAGCATGCGGATCCTGACCCTCAATAGGTACAGTGCATTTGCTACAAAAATGTAATCAGGAGATTTTTTTTAAAACGAACTTCGTAGCAGGTTGTCCTTCTGTTTCAGCACCTTTTCTTAGACGATATCTCATTTGAGAACAATATTCTCCTCTCTCTGTCCGTCTCGTACCGACCTGTAATTAATGGAACGAATTGATTTATGTGCTTTGTTTTCCCCAAGTCGCCCGGGTATTTTATTATCCTCCTAATGAGAAGGGAGGCCGACTCATGCATTTCACAGAGGTCTGGAGGAAGTCTGCTGCAGTGAAGTCTCACCTTGTTCTCTCTCTCTCTCTCTCTCTCTCCGTTTCTTGTTCAACCAGCAATATGGTCGGCCTTATCTGGCTGCCCGACACCATCTTTAGGAATTCCAAGAACGCCGACTCACACTGGATTACGACACCCAATCAGCTGCTCCGCATCTGGAACAACGGAAAGATACTTTACACACTGAGGTGAAAACCTTCACAACACACCGAGATAAATCAAATGAAACCAGGAGAGGGCAATGCAAGAAAACGAGACAGCAGAGCTGCTGGAAAAGCATTCATCTTTTTGTGTCCTTCAGTGGTAGCTGCGGGAAGTGTACTCGTCTAATCATTTCTGAAAGTGCTGCCGATAAAAAGAGAGCGCCGTAACAGTTTCAAGTGGTGACATTGGAAAGTTTTGTTGCATAATTCAAATGTCTGAGTTGGTTGCAGCAGGATTTCGTCCTGTCCATCTGCCTAAAACATCCAGAGTTCCTATGAAGCCATTTCAGAAAGGATATAATGACGAAAATGATTATTTCTACTTTGTTTCGGCCATGGACAGCTGTGGGGAAACCAAAGGAAAGAACAATTGCGAGAACTTGTATGAAGCATGACAACAACAACAAGCTATCAGAAGCAATGGTTGCCTCCCATAAATCTGTGAAAGGTTACAAAGTCATTTCCAAACAATCTGAAGGCCGTCACTCTTCAGAGGTGATTCAAAAGTAGAAAACATTTAGAACAAAGACTGGTGGCCTGGATATCTGAGCACATCTTTGAAATGCTCAGAGAAACTTCAACAAATTAGGAACAAAATGTTGACTGTAACTGTAACTATTTTCATGTTAATTAGACAAAACTCTTTTTTTTTTTTAAATGTATAGTTGATTAAACTCTGAGGTTCCTTTGCCATGTTGACTGGAGTAGTTTTGGCTCCGCCCACTGCCTTTGACTCATAAGGCTGTCAGAGATAATTGTGCTGCAGCTCACGACTGAAATAATTAAATTATGAAATAATTATGCATGCTTCCTTTTATCAATAAAAGGCTGCATTAAGTACAGATCTGAATAATTGTGTTTGAATTTCAGATTAATTACACTTAAGGAAAAACTCATTGAACTGCTGCACTTTAAAACCTCCCACTTTTTTCATTTTAAGCCACATCTAAAACTTACAAATCAACATCTGACCTAAGCATCTTAATCTCAAAGCAGTCGGGAGGAGAAAAAAAAAAAAGCATTTAAATATTCTTTCTGTAGCTGAAGGTAATGTGTTGTTGTTTTGGATGGTTGTAAACAGCAGCTGCAGCGGCAGACATTAATTTGACAGGCCGCCCACACATCCACAGCGCGCACTGCGGTAGATCTTATTCTCCGTATCAAGATTCGAATCTTTGCTTTTGTTACCAAACGGTTATTTGCCTTTAGAGCAGATATTTAAAACGTCCTCTTCCAGCTTGTCAACATGTCCTGTTTGTGGTTTGAGGAACCCCCAGCTGTCTGCAGCTACCGAGAAGGAAGAAGGAAAAAAAAAAAAGAGGACAATTTGAGAGGACGGGTTCTTTTAAAATTTTATAGCCATTTGGGTTTGTGAACTCTCAGCCTCTGACAGGCTTTTATGCCTGGAGGATCCGTTTCACCTGCATACTGAGAGATTCTGACTAAACCTTGGCAAATAGCACAAACAACCCCGGCTTTTGTTTACACGGCCCTCGGAGGAGAAGACGCAGCAGCCCTGCTGTGTCAGGACGCTTCAGGTGCCGTTGTGAATAAACTGTCCTTAAATGAGCATGATGTTCTTCAGAGACTTTAGCGTTTTATCGTTTTTGGTTTGCTGTAATTTCCAATTTTATATATCTATTTAGAAGATTGCGATGCAGCTTTTCATACAACCTTTGAATGTCAGGAGGGTAAAAGGCTCACTTAAAAAATGTCTAATTAGTGGCAGGAGCCTAACCCGTGATTGTAGGGGGATAATTTGTGCTGTTGTAGAGGTTAATACCACTGATCACGGCCTTCTGAACGGCGCTCTAAACGTGCTTCTTATCAGCAGGGGATGAATGGGCCAAAACTGAACCGCTTTGCATTGGAAAGGCAAGAATTTTAAGCTGCATTGATCTCTCTTTTTTTCTTTTTTCTGCACAAACAATAGACCCGGTCATTACGTTTGATAGGAAAGGGTTGCCCGTTGTGACAGATGGTTATCGCCCGACACAGCTGTTCCCTTCAGCTGCACAGAGACTTTGGAGTCACTTCAACTCTTTGTAACCGCTCTCTGTCGCTAACTCTCGCTAATTGACCTCATTTTTTATTTATTTTTTTGTAGCTACTGCAGATTAAATGTGAGCAACAGCTTTAGGGCTTCACAGATGAACCTGAAGTAGGCAGGACCTGCTGGTTAGAGAAGTTGACAAGAAGGAGCTCGAGAAAAGGCAAATATTAAACTTGACGATGGGAGGATGTAAAGGTTTTAGAGAGAGAAAAGTTACCCTAGGAAGGTAAAACGATGACATTGGGTTCTGTCTGAAAACTAAAACCCTGTTTATAAAGATTCAACCTGCAATGAATTAAAGGTTTTTGTTTCTGTGTGTAAATAAAAAAAGAAGCCAGAAAAATAAAACACCAAATGTTTATATTTTATGTTGGAATCCTTAGGAATGAAAGCTTCGTAATATTTCTCATACAAGAAAGTGATTCTGTATCACATCCAGAATTTAAAAGTTTAAACTTTAAAGCTACTACATAAAGTTGTGGCAAATTGGAGAGCTCCTTCAGTGACAGACTGCTGCCTCTGAGGTGCACAAAGAAGCATAATCACTGTTCCTTCCTCCAGCCACTATCAGACTGACCATCACTGCCCCAACAAACTCACCAAGTGTTTACATCCCTGCTGTTATTTGCACAGTTTTCCAATTTCAATCCAATACATTTCGTACATAAATCTTCCCACTGAATTGCACATTTTTTGGAATCTGAATGTCATTTTTAGAAATTGTGTTCAGATTTTTTCCTCTAAATTTGCCATTGCTGTAAATTCTGGTTATCTTCGTTATTGTTTTCATAATTTTATCGTTGTGTGAATCGACACACTTCAACCTGCCTGTCAATTACATAGAACCACCAAATGATGGTTTCCAGAAACTCATCTCAATTACTAGCTAACTAAAACATGCTTCCGTTTTCTTGGAAAATGACACCAGTGCATGTCCCTGTAACTTATTTAATAATGACTTTTATGTAACAGATATTGGACTATAAAACAGGCGTGTTTTGGGGCTTCATTTTTTCTGAACAGCCTCCTATCAGACGCACCTCTCTGCTTCAAAGCAGCTTCTCATTCTCATTAATTTACAGTCTCTCCCAAATCTAGATTTCCAGGCTCCTGACAAGAATGGAAGCGAGTAAGTATGCAAATTGAGATTGCACATCATGTGCAATTTGTTCACCTACAAACAAGGCAAGTGAGGCAGCCCTCCTCCTGCTTCGACTGAGACTCCTCTTTTGTGCTCCAAGTCAGGCAATTAATTAGAAATTGTATGAAGGACAAAGAGACAACAATGTGTAGCGAGCTGGGGGGAAAAAAAAAAAAGCTCCTATGTGATCTCATTTTCAGAACTCTTATTGTCTGCGAGAAAAGAATCTTTTGGTTACAAGCTCATGTATGAAGAGAAAATGAGCTAAATCTAGGCTTACAATTAGTAAGCTAGGAATAAAAACCGACATCCCAGATTCTCCTGAACATCTGGTGTATTGACTTGTCAAGTGATCAGAGCTAAGTACCTCTGATTTTAGATGCAGACATGCCTTTGAACCATGACCTGACTGCAGGGGGGGGGAGTAGAGGGAGAGATACGTTTAACTCGTATGATGAAAGACTTGTGTCATTTTGAGCGATCTTGCGCATCAACCGTGCAATCGAGTGTGATCCTGTACCATCTGGTTTCAAGCCAGTGCCTCATAATCTCCAGTGCCAAAAAAGTGCATCCTGTGATAAAAGCAGTAATGAGTCTTGTGCACTCACAATGTGCTTCACGGTCTGCTAAGCGAAGGATCCGAAGCAACTGGAGAGCCCTGAGCACCTCCATCTAATCCGGTCTTCTCTCTCTCTCTCTCTCTCTCTCTCTCTCTCTCTCTCTCTCTCTCTCCAGGATGACCATCAACGCAGAATGCCAGCTGCAGCTTCATAATTTCCCAATGGACGAACACTCCTGTCCTCTCGAGTTCTCCAGCTGTGAGTCCTGGCACCAAAGACACACATGCATGGAAACACGTTGATGCCCAGAAATGCATATACAGAACTTTATCAAACCAGATACAGTAAAAAAACGGAAGAGAAGAAAAGTCGGTGTAGGTTTGTCCCATGGGCTGCGCTGGGCTCCTATGTGAAAACGGCAAACTTTCAGGTGCTGCAGGGAGTGCTGTACGCTGTTTTAAAGGGAATCACTGATCAGGGGATTGGCAATCAGCTCTGTATAGATGGGAATATTTTATGAGGCTGTCATGTTGCTCTGTCTCAGTGAAGCTTCCCTTCATGTTCGACAGCAGAACTTTTTCCAAACAGTGGAGAGAGAATTATTTTGTCACCTTTTCTGAACTGGAAGCTGGCCATGAACTCAATAACAAAGGTTATTTAATCATGTAAGATGGGCTGGTTTACTGCCATGATTTAAGTTTCTTTATTCCTTTTCCTGTTTCATAAGTCGGCATCCTTGTCGAAACTGTCACTGAAATGCTCTCAGAACTGCAGCGTTTCCCTGTTTTCTGATTATAGATTTGAAATTTCTAGCAGAAGGTGGTGAATCAGAATCAGAAAGTTTCACTTTAATCACTCTCTTCTTAAGAGTTCCCCACTTTGAAGCATTTAAAATGTTGTAATAGTTGCTGCTTATGGTATTCATCGTCTTCAGCCAACATTTTTAAAAGAATAAAATGAAAAAGTAAAGTAAAATCACCTGCCTGCAGTGAAGAAGACCGCAGTTAAGACTTTGTAGCATCATTGTTCCACTATTTATCTGCAGTGATGCCCTACAGCTGCAACATTCAGACTAAACCTGGTTTCTCTCAGCAGAAGTATGAGGATAAAGTTCCAAGTTTTACTTCTTCTATCACCTTTATTAAATAAAAACAGCAAAGGATAAATATTTAGGAGTTAGATGATGAAGCATTGCTTCATTCTGAACTCTGAGTCGAGTCTGTAATTACAGACAAATCACTTTTATGTTCAAATTCCTTGAAATGTTTGTGGTAGATCAGTTAATTAGTTATTTTAATTAAAACGGTTTGGATTTCACTCACCGTAATAAGCAGAACCAGAAACCTGCAATTTAATTTATTATGAAAAGGATCCTTACACTCAGGAAAATTTAATTATGCAACATAAGTTAAAAAAAAAATACAGTTCTCAGTTGACAGGGACTTTTTTTTCTTTATTTAAAAAAAACACAATGGTTAAATAACTTGTCTACTTGTTCCACAAGAGGTCATGAAAGTGATTTTAAAACCAATCTTTAAATAGCTCCTAATAAACGGAGCATCAATTCTAGAAATATTATAGGAATAGAAATGCCAAAATGGTAACTGGAAGGCAGTCATGTGTATCAGGTCCAAAAGAAATATTTTTTAAAAACTTATAATCATATCACATCATTCTTGTCCAAAATATTAAGATTAAGCATTTTCCTTTTTCCAGCAAAAAGAAAAAAGTTTGTAAAATCTGGATTTTAATTCCTTGATGCATAAATTCATTAATACGATCCTTTGAGGTGATTTTTCTCTTAACATTTTATTGGTTATTTTTAAATAAATTTGTATTGGTAATCGTAACATTTAAACCTCTGAAAAGCCAAACCAGGGACTCGGGCTACAAATTAGCCTTTGGCTCGAAGGTCCGTGTGCCAGATCAACACTTTAAAAAAATAATATTTTTCAATGTTCTGTCCCCAATCAAATAAAACTTTAATAAAGCAAAATACATCTTCATCATGTTACAAACCTTATTTTGGAGCAAATCACGACAGATCAGATGTCAGTGTTTATCGCTGCTCATTATCGATGCCTTCCCACAGCAGCTCATTTAGTTTTCATTTAGTTATATTTAATTTGTTCACACTGTGATGCAGGCAGATATTACAGAACTGCTATTAGTGACTGTGGCTGGAAGTGTTTTCATCCAGACGTATAAAAATCAAACTACTTTCCTGGAACAGTTTTTAAATTATTGAAACAAAAACTATAAAGTAGAAAAAAAAATCAGTTTAATTTAGTTGCGTCTGATTTTGATGTAGCCTCTCCTCCTCTAATCAACGAGGTTCAGCGATGTCTCAAACCGAAGCAGAGTCTTCTTCACGACAACAAACATCTGTTACGTGTCTGTTTTTGCGAAGTCCACCGCGTTTTCCTTTCCAAGTGTATGAATATAATTTTTGAGACGGTGGCGCAGATGGACATGTCTGCAGCAAGTGAGTCAACTCTTGGAAAATCTCATCTGCTCTCCAGACTCTTCTCTGCAGTCTTAACCTTTACAGAGCTGTTCGTCCTGTTAGCTTTCACTGCAGAGCACCAAAACTGAGCAACAAGCGCTTCCTCCACAACGGCTCACTGCGCTTTGCGACTATTGGCGGTTGCTGTTGAAATGGCACATGTCATCCGCAGCAGATGGTTTGCAAGATGAAGATCTGCTGTGTAGGAAGAGGAGATGAGAAGACCAGTTGAGCATACTGGGATGATGGAAGAAGGCATGAAGAGCCCTCGGTTTGCTCCATGGTGTAAACATATTCACTCTGCTTTAACTCTTTTACACTTGCCAACTTCAGTTCTCTAAGATTTTACCTAATAAACAACACGGATTGTGGAATATTTGTAGACTGGAAGGAAAATAATACTTGGTTTTAACGGTGTTTTTTTTTTTTTTTTTTAAATTATAAATCTGAGAAGTGTGGAGTGCCTTTATTTTCAGCCCCGTTGAGGGAATAACTTGTATAACCACGTTTAACTGCTGCAGGTCTTTTGCGTTCTGTCTCTAAAAGAGATGGGCGGATTGATCCAAAAACATCAATAAAAAGTCAGCATCACTATCGGATTGATACTAGCATCAAAAGATTGATACCTTAGTTTCAGATTCCCTCTTGAAATTGTTTTCAAAGACTTTGTTTCAGAAAAATGCACACAAATCATGTTAATATGTAATCAATGCATTTTGTAGATACCTATAAAGTTTGTACAAAGTCTATCCATGGTGTGAACAAAAAGAAAAAACACAACACCTTAGGGTTGGCAGTATGATGATATAAAAAACTTAAAATGTATCTGTATCCTTATATTTACTTAGCATCAGATCAGTATTAATACATGCACTATTACATTTCTTTTCTTCTTTATTTATCAGGAAGTCACTTAAGCACTTTATATTTTTGTCTAAACCTTTTCCATTGTAGCTCTGGCTGTGTGTTTAGGGTTGTTCTGTTAAAAGTGGATCTGCCATCAAATCTTTTGCATATTTTGCCAACATGGGCCTTTTGGCTGTTTAATCCTCTACATGGTTTTCAAATTGATTTTAAAGTGGAGGATGGTCAGTCTGTCAAAGTCCCTATAAAAACATCGACGCTCGTGTTGATGTGACAAAGCGTTAAAGGAAAAAGATCGAGAGGTGGGAATACTTTTGCACCACTGACCTCTGTTTCTCACCCAGCAGCTGAAGCAGCTGAAGCATTTCACTGTTACTGTTTCAACATCCAGCTGAAGCCTAATGTGAGGGTTTTAAATCGCACCGTCTCTTCGTCGTTAAGCAAATCACAAGCCGACCCATAATGGCCACATTCAGTTTCATTTACTGAGAATGAACATTATGAACCTGATGGATGTGTTGATAGCCTCGCTGATCTTTTCCCATTCATTTTGAGGTGTCTTTTTTCACAGTAGATGTACCCCTGACAGTACATTATGCAAGCAGTGTGAAACACTGGAAAGATTTTTCAATTAGTGGCTCTGGGTGTGATGACAGAGAGGCTTTTAAGATAGTGGATGATTTTTTGTGTGCAGGTGATCTTACATCAAACAGGAAGGCCAAGCACTTGTAATTCATGTGACTTCTGACTGTCCCCTTGTCATGCTACATTCAGTTCACTTTTATTAAATGAAGAAAAATTCTTAAATTGAAAGAAACTGAATTTTTCCACATTTATTCTCAATATAAAACTTTAAATGTCTGCAAAGGTTGAGGGTTCGCTCAAAGACAGACATGTTCTGACTGATTTCAGAGAATACAGAACACAAAGTTTTGCTGAAGTGAGGAGTCTATAAAAGTCTTATGAGCAGAAGGACTTTGGTTAAAAGAAATGGGTTCAGAGTTGTTACAGAAACTGACCTTTAAGTGGAAGGCAGCCTCACTAATCTATTATTTCTAATGCTTGGAAAAATGTTCCACTCTGTAAAAGTACAGTCTGGAACAAGTTAGCACAAAAGAAACAACTTGAGTCACTTGGAATAAAAAGTGGTATTTTTCTCTTCTTGTCTGATAACACCATAGAGCAAGTACAGGTTTTGTTGCAGAGTCCATCTTGTAAGTAAAAGCCTGAATTAGGGGTCATGGTTGAAGACCCTGTTGGTTTGCATTGAAGCATTGCCAGGGCTAAACGTCCTTATATGTGGAGAAAAAAGTGATGTGCAAAACACTTATAACTAAAGATGGATAACTCTGCATTGCATCACAATATCATCTCTAATATTTGTTCATCTGTCTTAAATGAGAAGCTATGACAGTTTTCTACATGTCTAGTGAACAAATAAATACCACCAACTTCCTCTCCTCTTTTAGAGACACAAAACTTAGAGGAATTGTTTAAAGTCCTAACAATTGTAGTTTCATCCATGTTCTTCATTATCCTTACACACAAATAATAATCTGTCAACACAAACGAAGCAGGAGGTCCATACTGGAGTATGATCTGCCATCTGGTGACCTCTTCCTCTCAATCACCCAGACTGATCAGAGAAACGGGCGCCATGTTGGCGACTTTACATGAACTGAACTCTCAGTCTGGGATTGTGACGGGCCTGCCGTCAGAAGCTGTCACTTTTACTTCAGGCTCTTCACAACTTCTGTGTCGTATAACAAAAAGGCATCAGTGCGACTCCAATAACACCTAGCACTAAAAATAAACATACCGATCGTCTGTTGAGGTATGGATGCGGACAAAAGCTTTCAAATTGCTACACTGGGTGTAATTTCCAGACCTGGCAAATTGTTCTTTAAGGCAGTGAAATAAGTTCTGTGTTCAACTCATTTCTACTCCTGTCATCTGAATATTGCAGAGGGACGTTAGAAATAGCTGGGAATGTGTGATCATTGGGGGCTGGTTGAAAATTGTGAATAATATCATGTGTTAGTCTTGATTATATGGAAGAGATGCAGGCAAAGAATCCAAATATCACATTTAGCTGCACTTGTTTGCGGTGAAAGACAAGCGGGCGTTAGTGGAGAGCAGACAGGGAGAATATTGGAGCCAAGGCCTCAGAAGGCTGTAATTTATAGCATTGTGAAAGAACATGTTGCTTCAGGGGGCTTTTAGAGGGTATGAAACATTCTGTAGCTGTAGAGACACACTGGTAGCACGACGATAACGCCGTCTGCAGTCAAGATAATTGTGCAAGGCCAGAAGAAAAATGATGGCAATAATGTTCAACTAAATTAGTATTTAAAAAAGTTAGGAAAGAATCATTTTTTGTGTCATTGTGATTTCTCTTCTTCCCCTGATGTCTAACTCTATTGTAAACACAGTATAATTTTCTTGTTTTTCACAAGCACACACCTGACTAGTGAGAATTATTTTAAGCTGTTGGAGCTGTAAAGTATTTGTCCCTATGAAAATGATAAGTAAACAGTTTCTGACCAGTTGATCCTGAATGTTTCGAGGGATTTTAGAGGAAGTACTCAAGTGTGACAAGTTTGTCACTCATGCTTATACATTTACACTATGAAAAGCATCCAGCCAGTTTATTTTCCTTAAAATTGGACTCAAAGTTGAAGGGTTTTGCCATTAAAGCATAATGGGTTTCAGCTGGAAGCCTGTGAAGCCATTCCACTGAAATTAAATAAATGCTACATTCGATTACATGATAGAGTATTTATTCTCAATAGGTGTGCCTCAGCAGAGTCCAAGCTAACAAGTTAAGACTGATTGCTCGGTTGGTCTTCATTCCACTGAATCTCCAATGGAAACCTGCTGTATAATTTTGTATAAATCATGCAGAACTCTGGTATAAATCAAGCATACAACAACAAAAAACTGCCTAGCTGCAGAAAGCCTCTCCTGCCTTCAAGTTTTATTCCGATCCTTTTTGTTCTGTGCTTTATCCATTTATCCTCCAGAACACACTCGCGCACAACTGACTGGCTCTGTGTGTGGTTTGCAGATGGCTACCCGCGGGATGAGATCATGTACAAGTGGAAGCGAAACTCGGTGGAGACGTCGGACCAGAAATACTGGAGGCTTTACCAGTTTGACTTCATGGGGCTCCGGAACACGACGGACGTGCTTAGGACCACGGCAGGTAGGTCAAAGTTCAACAGAGGGTCAAGGAAGGCTCTCCCAGGCTGTCAGTCCCTTCACACAATGACTCAAACTGATGTTATAAATCATGCTCCACCCACAAACATGATCTCAGCTTAAAGGAGGAAACTGTAAGCTTGCCAAGACATGACTGTTCAAGGAGAATGATAATAATTAAACCTTACAGCAGTGGTGGGAACCACTGCCTTAAAACTAAAAGCACTAATTATAAACATCAGTTCTGCTAACTCTAAATCGCTACACCAAGTCGGTATTTAGCTGAAGCTAACACTAAAGCGCTAACTTCAGTTCAGATTATGGTGCGTTCACAGCAAACGCGTTATGAGCATCTAGTGTACATTTAAAGTCAATGTGGAGGCGTGTTGAGGGCTGGTTGCGGCGCGTTTTGAATGTCTAGCTCAGTGTAATTTGAAGCGTTTGGAGTGTTTTGAGCCTTTCACGTGTCAAGTGCATCCAACGCTCCACAGAGACTTAGAATGTAAACCAGACACCCCTGATACACCATTATATCTGCTCTCGAGCACCAATTTAATTTTGACATTCCATTATGGACTTGGAAACTGTATTTATGTTTATATGTTCTTTATTGTCCATGTTTTATTTTATTTGTCCGTTTCTTGTTTGAAATTGTTGTCAAAGAGGAAGCAAAACTACTGTGTATACAGTCTTTACTCTCTTTCAAAATAAGAGCACGAACATTAACATCTAGCTACTTTAGTTCTTAACATTCAATAACCTAAAGTAGACAGATGTCAGATTTTATTCAACTGGAAACACCGAAGTAAATTAGCACTTTAGAATCTATTTGTAAAAGAAAAAAAATACTTAGGAGAAGCTAAGTGTGCAAAATGTTTTCAAAGCTTAGCTCCCCTATTAGCGCATTAGTGGAAAATGTGTCCACCGCTTACAGTCAGAGTGACGATAAATTTCTTCAGACTAAAGCATATTCATTTGTTAAATAGACACATGAATATGACCAATGTGGATCTATTTATTAATTCTGAATGGGCAAAAAAAGCATCTCTGGAACAGCTGCAGATGTATGTGCAGGAAAAGTTGGCTGTGCAAAACACTGAGTAGGGGAACTGAACCCAAACACGCAGCATAACTTTAATATTTCCTTTTCCAAAAACAAACAAAAAAAGAAATACATTTGACGTTTTCTTTTTGTTTCTATTCTGCATTACAGATGCTGACATCTTCCCGTTGAACTGTTCACCCCCTCAGAGCTCCACAAGCTAACATTAGCCTTAGCTCCATGCATATAAATGCAATGATATCACTACACTTTCAAAGCTCATAAGTATTCCCCTCGGGTATAAGACCAAATAGGTTTTTTCACTGACATTAATCACTAGGATTAAAGATTAAAAAGGAAGTTTAATTATTCACTCCTCCTTCTCTCCTGCTCATCCGTATGGTTTCTATCCTAAGTACTTTGTAGCTTTGAATCTATAGACAACTGTAAAACCTCGCTGCTCCCACATGTGGACAAAGCTCTTTATGCATTTTTAATGCTTTGTACATGACCTTTGAAAATAAAAATCGATTCCGACGGCTTAAATAATTGAAAGACAGAGGACACAGACCTATCGTTAACCCCTGTTAACCTTGTTTAGAAGGTGCACATTCCTCCTGGTAGGTGCCATACGGTGTTTTGTCTTCAGAGAGACGGGCCCAGATCTGCATAATGTGACCTGATTCAGCTTTCTAACAGCTGAACCTCTGTTCATGAATATTCCAGGAACAGGATTATAGTTAGGAGATGGATAACAGGGAGTGGCATCGAATTATCGGGAAGCTCAGAGGAAATTAGCTGTATAACTCAATTTTGTTTGGCTAACTCTTACTGAATTGTAGTGGTGGTTTGTTATAAAACTTGTTTACAACAGAAGATCAGTCGACATTACACACTCACACTGATAACTGAGCATCAGTTTTAGATCTAATGTGGATCCTAAAGACTTACACAACCTATTTAAAAGACAGATTTCTGTAATGCAGACAAAAGTTCAGCTATAACTTCTTTTTCACCTATAATGTAAAGTAGATCTGAATCGTACCTTTCAGTCTCAAATTTCATCTCAGTAGGTTATGCACATTTTCACATTTTAGCTAAAGAAACAATTTGCAGACAGGATTAAAAATCTGTCTTTCAGAAAATAAAAATATTGTGGAAACGTTAAATATTTTAAGCTCCTTGTGTCACAATCCAGTCAGCTAATTAACTCAAAACATGGGAAACGTTTCCTGAGCCTCTATGATCTCAATCGGGGTCAGTCGGCTCATTGCTAAAGGAGTTGGTTGTTCATACAGTGCTGTACGCAAGCGTATTCATAGAAAGTTGAGTGGAAGGAAAAAGTGTGGTTGGAAAAAGGTTAGGTGATGATTGGAGTGTCATGTCATCGGCTGGTGTTTGTCCATTATGTTCTCTGAAGACTACAGTCAGCAGAAAATATTTTTAATTGATCTTATATTTAAATTTTCTGAGACAATTTTGGGTCTTCGTTCTGTGTACTTGAAGTTACATGAAATAAAGGCTTACAATAAAGTAAAAAACACTCAATAAATACAAAAACTTTTTATGATATTCTATTTTTTTAGATGTTTTTCCTCTTGAATGCTACAGGATATTACAAAGCAGTTTTTCATGGTTTCGTTTGTTTACATTGGAAGCGTGGCATTTTAACAGGGGTGTGTCCACTTTTTAGATTCACCATAAAGAGATTAATTCTCAAATCAGGAAACGCTTGTGATCACAATAGGAAATGGCGCCTGAGAGCTTTCATCCTGAGCCTCACTGATGGGATTACAAATTACACATTTTCTCCCTCTGCATTGTCAAAATGCCACCAAACTAATTTTCTACAGAGATCCTCAAAAATAACGGCAAACCTACACATTTACCTCATGCTGTTCAAGAAAATTGGCCATTTTCTCATTTATTACCTCGTTTTCTTTTTTCCTGTATCACTTTGCCGAGGCGCTGTTTGCACACGCATGATGATTAGCTTCCCGGCTAAAAATACCTATCATTAATTTACATCATGACAAACTTCAAAAGTGTTTCGTTTCTTTCCTTCCTGAATATCTACACTCCCAATCTACTGCTTGATTTCTCTCTTCATCTTTGATGAACACGTGCAAATTGGGGATTTTTTTAATGAGGACAGAGTGGACAATTCAGCAGATCCTTCTTTGAAAACGTCCCAGTGAGGAATATTAAAGACTTTGGTGTTTTGCTTCTTCATCCCACTGAAAATTCATTCAAAGCTGTGGGAGTTAAGTCTAAATTTGCATTCGAGAACAAGAGGTATTAATGATTTTCTTTCTTTGTTCCACATGTCCCCACTTGAGTTTTGAGTCTTGAATCTCTAATGAAAAACCTGGAACTCCCTCGCTTTCCGTCTCGTGTCTTGTAATACATCTTTTCGATTTTTCGTTCTTTGTTTCAGCATATTCCTGAGAGCTTTCCGAGTCTCAGCCGGAACCCAGAAAACCATGATTAAAGCACGAAGAGATGAGCACTCGTGCCAAAAATGCAAAAGACTCATTTGTGTGGTCACTTCAGTGCCCCCTCTGAAACACTTGAAAGAGTTAGCCATAGTTACAGCTCAGTCAATGTGTGAATACAAAAAGCAGTGTGCACACAGGACCTGTCTCACAACATGAAGTAGGCCAAAAGATCAAGAAGAAAACTCAACGCATGATGCAGTGATCTGATGAAATTTAAGAGCAGATGAAAAAATTGACATTTCTTAAGATGTAAAGAGTTCCAGCCCCATTTTGAAGGTTTTGGGATCTTGTTGAATCACGCTGAAGATTAAGCAAAGACAAATCGGAGCAGTAGTGGACCTTCCCTGGAATGGTCAGACCATATTATAGTTCTGTTTAAATTCTAGAGCTTATGCCAGAACTCATGCATCCAAAGCTGGAGTCAAGCCCAGCCCCTCCTGCTGGCCTCCCTGTTGTCCCCTCAGTGTTAAAGTGGCCACTCTGTATGGAGCTATACAATACAAGAGTTAAAGACCCTTAAAAATGGAGCAGCACTTTGCTTTGAGGGTCATTGCTCCAGGTCTGATGACCCCTTCACAGAGCAGAGGTAGGAACAATGGAGGGAAATGGACATTAGTCTTAGATGTGTGGGTCTCTAGTTCCTGAGTGGTTTTATTATAAAGTACAAAACCTTCCATCTAGAGTAATTTCTCAAATAGAGCAGTCGGTTGGTAGGGAGAGCAAAATGTTAGAGGAAATGGTCACATTTATTCTTTTCTCTCTACAAAATCTCCCCGGTTAGTAGAAGTAAATGTAGCTCATGTTTCATTCCAGTTTTTAGATTGTTGCTAAGATGAAACTTAACACTGGAGGACACCAAATGTTCACGTCAAGCGGATTAGCTCGGTTCATCGTGAGTTTTTCTTTAAAAAGTTCAAACCCGGTTTGGGTAAAAATCCTCTTCTTCACACTGTGTGTGTTCTGTCTCATGAACCGCTCAGCTGACACGTCCTTTGCTCATTAGCAAAGCAGTTTTGCTGTAAATATTCTCGGCTGCTTCCAAACAGAGCGGATCCGACCGTACGGCACGGCGGAGTCGGTAGAAGAGCGTGTTGAAAGCATCTTGGACTAATAAGTGCTCAGGAGAAGTGTGCAAACAGAGGGGCGGCTGCTGTCCAAACACTGCAAATACGGCGATTGTTAGCCAGAATGCACACTTAGAAAACAGAAGCTGCTGCCCTAAGGCTACAGATAACTTATCTGGGAGTGGAGAAATGTTCCTGCTGCTGGTGTAGTTGATAATATTCAAGAGGAACTGTGAAATTAAGAAATGTGTTGAGATGATGGAAAACAGCGGAGGGGACAGTTTCACACCATTGAACTTTCCCTCGTTTTGTGTTGCTACAGCCACAAACCTCAGTGTTTTATTCAGGTTTTGTGTGAAACAAGCATAATGTATTAGTTTTTGTAGATCCCTGCAGCTGCATGTCTTCTGGGGAATGTCTAGCAAATTTGCACATCTAGACACTGACAGCTTCGCCCATTCTTGCTAAAGTAGCTCAGTACGAGTCGATGGAGAGCAAATCTGTAAACATCTTTTCACAGACTGTCAACTGAATTTAGACCCAGACTTTAAGCAATCTGAAGACATGAACAGGCTTTGGTCTATGCAGACGTGTAGAAGATTGTGTGTTAAAACGGTTCAGTCAATAAAATTTAGATTTTTAAGGTTTGTGGTTGTGATGAGAGAAATGCGAGAAGGTGGTTTAAATTCTGACTCACTGCCTGAAGAGAACAATAAATTTAATGAAACCATTTTATCGAGTGTAACAGAATATAAAAACATGCTGATGATGTCAAACCTTTATGTTAAGATTAAAGTTTTCTTCTCTGCAGCATTGGGATGTTTAGTGGAAACCATCAACCCTTTTATTACATCATTTGTTTGTGTGTAGTTCCTGTAATCACAATGTGATCCAGCTGTCTGAATAAAAACTGATTAAAGCCGCCATTTTCTGACACACAAAGGACATAATCCCTGAATAATAATAAACTTGAACAAACCTGCAACAGGGAGGACGACGCTTTCTTATTTTCTTATGTGCACCTGCAATTTTTCAGACAAAAGGTCGTCCTCTGCTTCCTTTCATTCAGCGTTTCCATCCAGTTCTGGCATATTTGTTAAAAAGTGACCTCCACTTATGTTGTAATATGTGCTTTAATGTGTAGAACCTTTATTGGTTTCAAAGCAAAAGTTTCCATGAAATGAAGCTCAGTATCTTCTACTCACAGCCAATTAACACGTCTATGAAGACAGCAGAGTGACAGTCAGATACCGTCTCTCCCTCTGTCTCTGGACTTATCTACTTTCCATCTCCTGTCCTCGTCTTTCCCACTCTGCCCGCCTGCCATGCCTTTTGATGAAGATTATAAGGAATTATAAACAATTCCCGTCGATCAAAGACTGAGCAGATCTCTCTAACTTGAGCAGATTTACAAGCTAGGACTGATTTCTCTGCAGTTTAGCAAAAGAAGGTTCTCCAATTAACTCGGCTGATGAGGTCATGTCTGTTTCAGGTGACTATGTGCTGATGACGGTTTACTTTGACCTGAGCAGACGGATGGGCTACTTCACTATCCAGACCTACATCCCCTGTATTCTCACCGTGGTTCTCTCCTGGGTTTCATTCTGGATCAAAAGCGACGCCACGCCGGCCAGGACCACGCTAGGTAGGAAACTTCAAGAGTTGTGAAAGTGAAACATACAACATCATGTATGTGGATATGATCCAAAGAAAAACACAGATATGTATGGACCAGCCACACCTTTATCTGTGGCTTCAGTCCAGATAATGTGGCATATTTAAAAAGAAAATTAGATGAATTTTTACATTTGTTGACATTTCTAAGTTAAATATTTCCCTGGTTACTTTAATATCTGACTATTTTCAGTCTCTTTGCATCTCTTTTCTGACTGGTAGGTCTTAGAGTCATTTCCTTTGAGGCATGAAGTTAAAAATAGTCAAGCATTACAGCATACATTTAACCATTCACTCAACTGGCAGTTCTATTCTAGTAAAATATGAAAAATATATTTTAATTTCTTAGCAAAGCTGAAACATTTTCATCACATTTCTTGATCGCAGAGAACAAAGTTTGCTTTGAGGTTGAAGTTGGGTGGGGATAAAGATGGGAGGACTGGATCTATCCGCTCTGAGCTCACCCTGTGATGTACCAATCCCCTTCAAATCCTACTGGCTGACTGAGATATTTTCAGACCTTGGAAGCCTGAAACAAAGTGGAAGGGTTGTGTATTTTTAGCATTTTTGAGGTAGTCGTCACTTCAGACACTAAAATATATGCTCTCAAGTGAGGAAAGTGATGTTTCTTAAAAGTCTCCCTTAAAGACAGACCTAAAAAAAAAACATCAATACCCTGACAAGTTAAATACTGATCTGATTAATGAGCAAAATTAAACATTTATCTCATGAAACTCAACAGAAATGCAAATCTAAAAAGCTCTAGGAAATGCTAGTTCTTACTGGATGTGAATGCATTGATTTCATTTAACTTCATTTAAAAAGAAAGTCAATTAGAGTTTGAGATTTTGCGTTAATTTCACAGAATACTAATTAGGCATCAGATTATGAAAACTGACTGGTGAAATGATTACCACTGATTGTCTCCTCATCATGCCACACACCAGTGCACATTGGTCTTCATAGTTGATGTGTCAGACGGAGGAAGACTGGATCAGTGTAAGAATTTAAGAAAGGTAGATTGTGAAAGTCGTGATGGATCTCCAAAGCTGCAGCAAGTGATGCACGCTGCCAGGAATCGACATGATCAGAATCAGTACTTGGACAAAGTACAAACTCCAGTTGCATTTCCATTTACTGTATAATTGCACAGCAATTTGAAAAAGCCTCACATTTTTTGATGACGTTTTTTTGCAAAAATGCACTGGAAACACTTTTCACATCACATGATTAAAAACTGAATGTTACTGTTACTCTATTACTACTGGCAGAAAGATGGAGAAAGATTAAGAAAACTAGTAGTGGTAGGAGGACGATGGCATGTTTTCCTCTCCCCACCATTAGCACGGAAAGGCTAGCAATAGCATTGGATGCGCTGACTACTAGCATGCGTAGGCTGGTCACCCATAAGTTGTACTTCCTTTTTACGGGAAACTTTAATAAAAAAAAAAACTGGTTTGTAAGCACTATACTGTAGTCTACTGTATTCTGACATTATGCCAGGCATAAACACACTGAAGTTTTCCCATTGAGGCTTCTGATTGGGCAGAAGGCTAACGGGCCGCCGCTACATGAAGACTCTTAACTTTGGTGCTGACAGGGCGCCATACATGATCCTCACCACATCTCCATATCTGACCGATTTGATATTTGTTAATCAGCAATTAGCATACATTCTCATTTGGACTACTTTGTTAGTAATAACTCAATTTCTCGTTTAGTTTTTGGTCAAACACCTTAGCGATTAAATCCCAGAGAGCTAACTGCTTCAGTCGTACTTGCTAAATGAGTTTGGACTAACTTATTAACTTTAGCCAGTCAAGTTTTCCACTCTTGACCTCAGTGCTGAGTCTAAAGCGTCTCCTACCACCGTCATCTCGGCTGTGACCAGCTTCGAGGCCCCGCTTCTAAAGTGCTTTAATTCCTCTAAGTCCCCGCTGCCCTTCATCAGCCGGCCGGTATCACCCAGGGTCATCTGGAATGGCTCTGCAGTAATAAAAAAGCTTTATTGGACTTCTCTCCATCACTATTTGCTATCAAACCAGACAAAAAAACTTCACAGTCGAACAATCAGTTCGTCTCATGTTGTATTGAATTCAGTAGTAAGCGAGTGTTATTACTCAGGCATGCGTCAGGCCAAAGGAGCCTCTCCTCTCGTGCCGCTAATGAAAGCTGATCATAATAAGAGATTGTGTTCGGCTCAGCTTGCTTCTTACTCTCAGCCTGATAAAGGTTGACACGATGACAGCTGAACATCAAAACAGCGCGGGCCAGATTAGATCAGGAGACGCGGCATCCCACTGCTTTTTTTCAGAGTTTGTTTGTGGAAAATGAAGGAATGTCCTGAAATGTGAAGGATTTTTCTTTAATACCAAAATTGTCAGTGAAGGCCTCAGATTATTATTATTATTTTTTTGCCTACAGGACACATGGCAGTGGCAGCATCTTGCTTTAGAGATGTTTTTATTTCCAACAGGGAAAGCAAAGCTGGTCAGAGTTTATGGGAAGATGTATCGCCTTATATGCAGGACATACTACGACTACCCAACCTGAAGCACATCCTGTTAGCATGGCCTAGTCAAAGTTGAGGTGGGGAATTGTTGCAAGATTTAAGGTGATGTCACATAAAGGTACATCTGAAAAGTGTGAATCTCATTAAAAAGTTCCACATTTTGTCACTAATTTCAGCAGTAAAACTCACATTAGATTTATCACACAGAGTGAAGTAATCCATGCTTTTATTTCTTATATTTTTGATGGTTACACATAATAAAAACCAAAGTTCAGTATCTCAGAAAATTAGAATGATGCAATGGATTTCCATCATCTGTAATCCTTTATCAAGAATACACAGATTTAACACTTAAAATATTTCACTCTGCATGACAAAGCTTCTGAAATGAGTGACAAAAATATTGAACTTTTCCACGATCTGCATTTGTTAGATGTACCTGCACACTTTCCAGCCTGATTTTTATCAATATGACTTTACCATTATTCATAATTTTCCTTTAACCTTCAATGAAAGTCTTGATAAAATACATGGAAATTTTTGGTTGCCATGTCTACACCTTTGCAAATCAGCTAATTGTTCCATCGGCTGGTAACCAGCGGCCTGTGGGTGGTGAGGAAAATCCTTGTGACATTCCTCTCAACAGGTAACGCAGTGAAACAAGCACCCCCCTTGTCCTGATAAACGTCCACCTTCAGCTGAACAACAGAAAGTCATTTAGCGCCCCCCGCCCCTCTCTTTTGTCCACCGGCCCCCACTGTCAGCCTGAGACCAAGGCTGAAAAGAAACCAGACAGGTAAGAGGAAGAAAAAGAGCTAAAAACAATCAGACCTCTGGCACATGGCAGCAGGGAGAAATGTCACACTGAGGGAGGTTAAATCTGAAGGAAAACAGCTTCACCTCAACCCCAAACAAGCCAAACGCAGCGCTGCCACTCACCGGGTACTCCTACAGCGGCAGAGCGCTCGGACAACATGGAAGTTAGAGGTTTCAGCTGCGGATGACTCCTATTAGACCCCAATCTCTGCAGCTCATATGAATGCTGGCAGAGATTTGAACTCCGATGATGGGAAGTAAAAGCGCCCGGAGGCAGGTTTCAAGAATCTGGGGCTTTACAGTGTAAAATAGGCTGCAGCGCTGGAATTAATAGGAGCTGGAGGTAACATCCATCATGCTCATCCAGGGTAATCACTGTGTTGCTCAACGTCAACATGACCGCTCACCAAAAAGAGCTTCATCGCAGCATTTATAGCACAAATGGATTTATTTTTATGCTGCCAGAATTTAATAGTTCAACAAAAAGTGAAGCTTTAAACATTTTTTTAAAAACTGCTAGTTTGTGGTACTTTTTATACTTTCCATCCAGAGGGCTGTGTTCCAGGGAATCGACTATGGATGAGCATTTCCTCTGAAACCAAACAAGTCTGCAGACGCGTCTGGGCAATCAAAACAAATGTCCAGTCATGCAGCGGTCTGTAGAGAGTAGCATCCTTACCCCTCGGTGATGACATTTACATTACACACACATACACACCCCACCAAAGCCTGGAGCTCTCCCAGACATGCGAGGAATAATGGCTCCTTTAAAAAGGACTGTGCACCCACAGCCTCAGTCCCCATCCCCACGTACAGCCAGCTCAGATTCTACCACGTCACTGATGGGAACATTTTTAATGCAGAGGTCTGAGGAATCAAATTACTGTGGCAGAAAAATGCCCCCAAAGCAGTCAAACAAAGGATCTATAACAGGGCAATTTTTAGAAAGTGTGACCTTTGAAGGTTAAGGGTGTTTCCTGAGGTGGATAAGACCACATAGATTCTGCATACAAATTCACTGGCAGCTTCCACTAGAGAATAGTAGAAAGCCTCAAAATAAAGTTATCCTTTACTGCAGTAAAACACTTTAGTTTGTCCAAAGATCCAGTCTGTCATTCAAGCACATGTACAGCTTTCAGCCTAATTATTAGAAGTAGTAATTTTTTGCAGTAAAACGTCATCATTCAAGAGCCGGCATCAAGACTGAGGCAGCCATTAAAAAAGATTGGTTCTGCATCGACTTCATTTATGCTTTAGGTTGATCTTCTGCTGGCTGACCCAACGGTCAGCCTATAGATGTGAAGAAAACTCAACCCAGTTGAGGATCTTTGTGGTGTAAATCTCTGTGGTTTACAAGAAGTTCCCACTATCAAGGCATAACCAACAAAGTAGTTGAGCAGGGTCAGCGTTAGCAATGAAGTAAGAGAGGAAGAGAATCATCAAATCAAACCTTTGATTCCTTCAGCAAAGCAGGTGAACGATGCGACTTGAAGACCTAAAAATACCAAGCCTTTAACTCTACAGGCCAAGCAATGCTGAGAAATTAGAGAACACAAAGCCTCAGTGAGTAAATTAGTTTTACTACTGATCGTGTGATAAAAGATAGTCTCTATAGCAACTTTCGTTTGAGAAGCATCTCTCCC